GTGGTGCGTGAGCACACGCCCGTCCCTCTTGGTTTGTTCTACTTGTAAAAGGTCCTGTGTATTGAATTATATTACGCCTTATGTAACTTGTCCATTGTCTTCTGTGCCCTTTGGATTTAGAAATGAGTTAGAATACTTCTTCCAATGGTATCTCTTAAATTGAAGTTGATCTCTTCAGCCAAAAACTTATTTGTTTTGTCTATGGCACTAGGGGATAGGAAGATAAGACTTCCAGTAATAAAGGAAAATAGATGTATAAGTAAAGTGTTTTCAATAGTCATTGATTGCTGACGTATGTATTCCTATTCCTGTAAAAATGGGGATGGAAACTCTCCATGCTGCCAGGAGGTCCCAGTGTATACTGATCTTTTGGTACCTGCACTGTTCACTCTTACACTAATCAGGGTTCTTCTGCCAGCCGATTTTACACATTGGATTATTCCCCTTCTTGATGTCCTCGCTTCTTCCGACTTCTAAAGGGCAATGCCGGATTTATTCTTTTGGACATTTTTGTACACGTACGTAGGTGGTATCCTATGGTCGATTCATTGATTGGCAATATTGAATTATTCTACAGAAAAAAAAGAGACAAATTAAACAGCTTAAAGTGGAGCCAGGATCCTGTTTGGTGTCATTGCTGGTATCCAACTTGTGAAAATGCTCAAAGTGAATGAAAAAGAAATGTATAATTCTAAAATCTCAACTACGCTCACACAATCTCTCTTCCCAACTTGTTGACTGGACATCATTTACCAGAACAAGTTTTCTAAAATCCTTTAAAAGAAGTTAAGCTTGTGTTCAGCAGCTGCATTCTGTGAATCTTATTTGTTAAAGCCAGTCAAGGAGATAATCAAGGGTTAGAAGAAAGGAATTAGACCATAACTTTTTAAAAACAAATCAGTGGTACCCTATGCTTCTCGCTTCCATTCCAGACAGCCTGTAACATTTTCTTTTCGCAGGCTCCACAGCTCTCTAACATTCACCTGCAATTTAGTCTTCAAAGGAAGAGGCACAGAATTCCATTTGCCAATCCCAAAATTTATAGCAATACATATGTGTAGACATTTAAAAATTATTGGCTACAACGCTGCTTAATTAGCTGAGTCATCCTCTTCCTTCTAAAGCATAAGACTCTGATAGGCATGTTTCTCAATATCCTTGTAATTTCTTCCATATGTATTATTTCTTCAGCTACGTTGTGATTCTGTTCAGCAAACTCAACTCCTTTTTAACTGCAAATTCATGTCTTTATTTTTTGATTCTAGTATCTATTTACTAATATTTGCTTTTCCCAGTGTAGTATTATGTTAGAACAATAATAATAGCAACAATGCAACAAGAACAAAACTTAGTTGGGTTTCTTATTTATTCCACACTCAAATGGTTCATGGTTTTATATTTAATACCTTTGCTAAAGAATGGCAAAATCTCTTATGTGATATTGAGTTTTTAGAAATAAGAAATCCTATGGCCTCAATTCTTTATATTTTCCACTAGCTTTTATTGAGCTATAATTGACAAAACTGTATATATTTGTGATATACATGATATTTGATATGTGTATGAAAAGATGATTAAATCAAGCTAATTACATGTCCAGCACTCACATACTGTTTTTTTCAAGTGAGAACACTTAAGATCTACACTCTTAGCAATTTTCAAGCATCACAATACATGATTATTATAAAGTTATCCATGCTATACAATAGATCTACAATTATTCTAAGACTAACTGAAACTGTCTCAACTGAACCTTTGTCACCTTTGTCCAACATGTCACATCTCTACCCCTTGCAATTCTTTATGATGAGTCTTCATCATCTACGTAAACCTAATGGTGAAAAAATTTTTAAGAACTTGCTCTAGTCATTTTATTTACTTATAAATTATATGTACTATTATAATACATATATATAATCACAAATTTTAAGAAGGAAGAGACAAATATATGTTTGTATACATTAGAAATTCTGGTGTTTTCTTCCATCACCTAGAAGAGTGTGATAATTACACTTTGATGACCATGGTCATCTAAAAGAAGCCCATAAGATATATCCATTCTAATTTTATCCATAGTTCAAGTAGACAATTAAACATCTTCCCCTATTTAGAGTCTGCCTTTCAACTTCTTGAAGCTCTTTTTAACAAAATAATTCTTTAAGCTGCCTAATATTCATTAACTCATGAACTAAAGGCCAAAATACAGTCTCAAGAAGCAATTTTTTTAAGCGAGGATGGTTAAGATTTGAGCCAAAGCAAAAGTCTGTGTGTGTATTTTGTGTGTTTGCATGTCTTTAATGAAAAGGAAGAATAATTTTCACATGAAAAACCTCATGTATAAGAATCAAAGATTTAGTCAATGTCCTACTGATTGATCATTTTATTACTATGTGGTTACATTATTTATTTTAATGACTGTATTCAAATGAACATATTTTAAGCAACCATTAAAGAACCTAAATACTAAACCAAGCATCTTTCTTTTCTTCCAATAGAATAAAAAATGCAGAGATACACCAAAAAATGTATATATTTCACTCTGCTTCCATTAAACAATTTAAGAAAACAGTTATAAGCACACTTCCCAAGTACAAACAATGACTAGGCACCAGTCTTATGCAAAACCTGACAACTGAAAAACTAACAGCTAGAAAGGAACTTCAGATCAAGCCAAACACCCAATCATTGCTTAAATCTGCTCTACAATAGCACCACCAAGTGGCAGTTTATGCAGCCTGTGTTTGAACACCTTCAGCAATAGGCACATATCTTAGAAGACAGTCTACTGCATTTTCTGACAACTTCTAATTATTTAAAATAAATAAGATTTTGTCTAGTAATAACTTACTGCGCCCTATTTTTTTTCTTGGAGGCCATATAAAACAAACTTAGTCATTCTCCCATTTGACAGTCTTCCAAATATTTTAAAATAACTACTATAAACCTCAACTTTCAACCTAACTTAACTCAGCTGTTTCTCATGTGCAGTTTTAAATTTTTTTCTCATGACAACTTCCAAGAAGAAATGCAAGCGTAAGAACCTAATTCTTGAAGTTACAAAGAAAATAATTTGCAAAACTATACATATTCCAGTTGTAAACTTTAAAGCAACAATTTAAATATATGGTCTTGAGCAAACTTATTATAAATAAATCTGTTGGGAGATAACTCATTAACAATAGCAGGGATTTGTTTGATATTTTTAAATATTTTCTATGTATTAAATAACTTCAACAAATAATTTTCATTTTTAAATTATAGCACAAATGGCCAACTTGAAAATGTATATAAACCATTATTATTTGAAAAGCGCAATCTCTGAAATCTTCCAGGAAATTAACTAAGATCTCAAGCTTGAATATGTGAGCCTGCATTGATATATGCACATGCACATGTGTAAAATACACACTGCTGTTCTAAAGGGTTAAAAATGATGTTTCTTATACAACTGCCCCCTGACTGAAATGAATGACTAAAGAAACTATATCTAACTGAAGAGTTTCTATTTTACTATAGTACCAATCATTCAACTGATTGACTATATTTACATATAAATAACATTTTCACAGCAAAGATAGTATCTTTTATTAGTCCATTATTAAAGTATGGTGGAAGTCAGTGTACAATCTGATATTATTTAGCACCCCCATTTCATAAATGATATTTCTCCCATCCAAATACTAACCAGACCCGACCCTGCTTGGCTTCCGAGATCAGACGAGATCGGGCTTGTTCAGGGTGGTATGGCCGTAGACCATAAATGATATTCTTGTCAACAGGGTGAATGCTAGTACTAGACAATGAAATGCCAATTTCAATTTAATTCAGTTAATACTTGAGTATTATTCACGTAATACTTGAGTATTTTAGAAGCTGAAAAAAACTGAAAATCTGATTTAAATAACTTGTATCATATACCAACAATAGGTCACAGGATAAAGATTTATTTTATACTGAAACAGCAAAAAGAAAATTCAGTGCTGCTTTATATTTTGGTCTACTGAACAAAGGGTTACTTTAGTACTAAATAAGCTTCAACGAATTTTCTTAGATGGCCATGCCATAAAAATGACAATGCATTCACAAGGAGCATTATATTCTGCTTTTTATTGTGAGCTCACTATGAGCAAGAAGAGCTAGCTATGCAAGATAGTTAGAGGTATTAGATTGAAAGTTATGCATGTTTCAGAGAGACACTACTAGTTCATTTAGAAAAAAAGGGAAAAACCTTTATTGAGCCTACCAGGATTTCTATTTCTTGATATACCTCAGCTTCTTCTTCAGTAACTCCAAGCAAGCTCCTTATTATCTGGTTCAGACTTCAGCTATACTCATTCTTTTTTTTTTTTTTTTGAGACAAAGTCTCATTTTGTTGCCCAGGCTAGAGTGAGTGCCATGGCGTCAGCCTAACTCACAGCAACCTCGAACTCCTGGGCTCAAGCAATCCTCCTGCCTCAGCCGCCCAAGTAGCTGGGCTACAGGCATGCGCCACCATGCCCGGCTAATTTTTTTCTATATATATTAGTTGGCCAATTAATTTCTTTCTATTTATAGTAGAGATGGGGGTCTCGCTCTTGCTCAGGCTGGTTTCAAACTCCTGACCTCAAGCAATCCGCCCGCCTCAGCCTCCCAGAGTGCTAGGGTAACTAACTATACATCACATGGTATATAAAACCACTCTAATAAAGGAGTCATGAAATAAAGTCTTCTTCGCTCTTTTGATCTTGGACAAAATAAATCACTCTGTTCCCCTATCTATAACATGAGGTGAGTTGGAACACTGTGAAAATTTATTATTGGTAAAATGATTCTATTCTTCAGGTAAATTTGACACAAAAATTAAGTACTTGATTCATACCTTGTTTTAATTCCAAACCTTCAGGTTGCTTGTTCTCTCTCAAGGTTGAAGTAGAATCTACACAAATATCTTGCCTGAAGAAGAAAATAAATAAAATCAATTTTTAAAACTATATTCAATCATATAATATTTACTGCCCAGGTCCCTAGAATTAAGTTAGGCATATGGGAAGAGACACTAAATTCTTCTACGCCCCAAGGTACCATTTGCGCCTACTCTGGAAACTCAGAAACATGTATACAAGTAGCAGAAGAAGCAGATACAAACGACTATGAATTTAAGCAGTACACTTCTTTGTAAAATGAAGGGGCAAATCTGAAAGGAACATGGAAATAATTTTTTCTCCTTTCCAATACTCAGTAGGGTAGCTGATGTGAGAAATCATAACTCACAGCAGTATCCAATACTTTTTCAAGTTCAACAGTTAAATTTAATGGGCATTTTGGCATTCAAATTACTTTATATTCATTTAATTTCATACTTCAAATGCTTTGATGCCTACAGTATATAGAAAATACATATTTTTATATAATATACATATGTAATCAAAGTAAATCGATTAAATGTAAGATCATGCAAAAAAGTTTCAATTCACTATGTTCTGCAATAGAGCTGCAAACATTATACCATCTTAATATTGATATTACAAACACTGTTCAGCAAGAAAAAGTAAAGCAATTAATTTTACCCACAGCCAGCATCATACTGAATGGGAAAATGTTGAAAGCATTCCCACTAAGAACTGGAACAAGACAAGGATGTCCATTGTCAGAAATTTATTCAATATAGTTCTGGAAGTCCTAGCCAGAGCAATCAGGTAAGAGAATGAAATTAAGAGTAACCAAATTGGGAAAGAGAAGCCCGTGTGGTGGCTCACTGCTGTAATCCTAGCACTCCGGGGGGTCAGGCAGGAGGATCGCTCAAGTCAGGAGTTCGAAACCAGCCTGAGCTAGGAGCAAGACTTCGTCTCTACTAAAATAGAAAGAAATTAATTGGCCAACTAAAAATATATTTAAAAAATTAGCCGGCATGGTGGCGCATGTCTGTAGTCCCAGCTATTTGGGAGGTTGAGGCAGGAGATCATGATTGAGCCCAGGAGTTCGAGGTTGCTGTGAGCTAGGCTGATGCCACGGCACTCTAGCCTGGCAACAGAGGGAGACTATGTCTCAAAAAAAAAAAAAAAAAAAAAAAAAAAGTGAGACAATTTGGAAAGAGGAAGTCAAACTATCGATTTTTGCTGACAATATGACTTATATCTAGAAAATCCCAAAGATCCCACCAAAAAGACTCCTGAAATTGATAAATAAATTCTGCAAAAAGTCTCAGGTTACAAAATCAACGCACACAAATCAGTAGCATTCCTGTACACAATCCTATAACAGTCAAGCTGAGAGTCAAATCAAAGACTCAATACCATTCACAATAGCTACAAAAAAAGAAAAACCTAAGGAGTAGATTTAACCAAGGAGGTGAAAGATTTCTACAAAAAAACTAGAAACACTAAGGAAATAAACTGCTGATGATACAAACAAATGGAAAAACATATAATACTCATGGATTGGCAGAATCAACATTATTAAAATGGCCATACTTCCCAAAGTGATTTACAGATTCAATGCAATCCCCCCATCAAAACACCAATGTTGTATTTCACAGATGTAAAAAAAATAAATCTATGCTTCATTTGGAACCAGCAAAGAGCCCAAGTAGCCAAAGCAATCTTAAGCAAAAGGAACAAATCTGGCAGTATCAAATTACCAAACTTCAAACTATATTACAAGGCCATCGTAAACCAAAATAACATGATAATGGCACAAAAATAAAGACATAGACCAATGGAAAAGAACAGAAAACCCAGAACAAAACTACCCACCATTCAGCAACTTGATACTTTGACAAAAGCAGACAACCAACTTGACACCACTAGGAAAAAGAATCCCTATTCAAATAAATTGTGCTGGGACACTAGATGCTCACATGGCATGAGGAATTGAAATAGATCCATCTCTCTCAGCCACTCACAAAAATTAATTCAAGATGGCATAAAAGACTTAAATGTAGCCCTTGCCTTAGCGCCATCTTTGTTAGAAACCTCCGTGCCATGAGAGCCAAGTAGAGGAAGAAGAGAATGCGCAGGTGCGGGTGTATTCTCGTGTCTGCTTTTCCAGGCCAACGCGCAAAAGAAGAAAGATGAGGCAGAGGCTCCAAGTAAACCGCTTGCTTGTGCACATGTGAAGGCTACAAGATCAGAAACATGGAATGCCAGCATCCGGAGACGCTGGTACAAGTTGTTGGACTGCATGCTACTGTCTAGAACTTGCCTCTCAGTGGATCTAGAACTTCACCACCATCCGACTGCCAAGGCCACCTCTGAGAGAACCATCTTGCTCATACCAAAACAGTCTCTACTGGTCCTTTGCCCTGGACCCGACATACTGGACTAGTTCTGTTCTCAGTTGTGGCGGAGTGTAACAAGTATACAATAAATCACCTGCTGTTTCAGCTGAAGAATCAAAAAAAAAAGACTTAAATGTAAGGCATGAAACCATAAGAACTCTAGAAGAAAATGCTGGGAAAACTCTTCTAGATATCAGCCTAGGCAAAGAATTTATGAAGAAGATCCTAATGGCAATCACAGCAACAACAAAAACAAATACATAGGACTTGATTAAATTAAAATTAGTTTTCTGCACAGCCAAGGAAATAATCAACAGAACAAATAGACAACCTACAGAATGGAAGAAAATATTCACAAGCTATACATCCAATAAAGGACTAATAACAAAAATCTACAAAGTACTCAAGCAAATTAGCAAGAAAAAAATCAAACAACTCCAATAAAAAGTGTGCAAAAGATATGAACAGAAAGAAGCTTTTCAAAAGAAGATAGACAAATGGCCAATAAACAGATGAGAAAATGCTCAACATTACTAATTATCAGGGAAATGTAAATTAAAACCACAATGAGATCACCTTACCCTGGTTAGAATGGCTTTTATTAAAAAGTTCAAAAACAACAGATGCTAGCATGGACGCAGAGAGAAAGGACCACTCATACACGGTTGGTGAGACTGCAAATTAATACAACCTCTATAGAAAACAGTATGGAGATTCCTCAAAGAACTAAAAGACCTACCATTCGAGCAACAACCTCATTAGTAGGTATTTACCCAAAGGAAAAGAAGTCATTTTATTAAAAAGACACAGGCACTCAAATGTTTATTACAACGCAATTCATAACTGCAAAGATGTGGAATCAACCTAAGTCCCTTTAATTCATGAATGGATTAACAAAATGTGTTTGTTTATACCATGGAGTACTACTTAGCCATGAAGAAGGATGACTTAATGCCTTTGCAACAATCTGGTTGGAACTGGAGATCATTCTCCTAAGAGAAGTATCTAAAGAATGGAAAAACAAACACTACATGTACTCGCTATTAAATTGGAAGTAACTGTTAAGCACACATGTACGTAGAGGGAAGTATAACTCAACTGAAATCAATCAGGTGGTAGAGGGATGGTGAGAATGGGCAAAAACCTATCTAACAGGTACAATGAACACTATCTGAGCACACTTATAACCCTGACTCAAGCATTACAAAAGAAATCCTTATAACCCAAAACACCTGTACCTCCATAATACTTTGAAAAAATTATAGCTAATTAAATTAAATATGCTTCTCACCCCCTATTAGTCAAGCCCACTATCTCCTACTGCTACCAACATCAGAAAGAGAAGCTCCAGCTTAACAAACTCAATACAGATGCAAAGACTAAAACATAAAAAAAAAAATAAAAAAAAAAAAATAAACTCAAGGTTTCCTTGGAAGAAAACTTCCTATGAAAATACATTGCAGAAAACAAAGAAAACACATGTTATTTTTCAGGTTCCATGATTGGTTTATTTTAAGGCACATCGGTGGGTGTTCATCTGAATTGTCAAAGTGTCTTGAAAAATAAAGGATAAAGCTTTAGTAAAGAAAATCAAATCAGCTGGAAATAAAAGTACTATTTTAACTGTGATTGATAAATTAAATTATTGTTATCTATTTAATAACTTAAATTACATTGATGTTGTCAGAACAGGTAACCCTGATTCAGGCTAAAAAATCTAGAATGTATCCAGGTCAGGGTTTCATTTTTATTTTGTGTTTTAATTCTTTTGTGGAATAGGGATGATTGCTAATTAATTACTCTGTAACTAGTAGGAAAAAAGAGACATAAAAATAAAGAAAACAAAGAAACACACAAAAACAAATTAATTATAAATATTCAAATGAGATTATGTGACCATTTTCTTCAAAATAGGTTATCTATTACCTCTGAGAATTTTGGGAGGTGGGATGGGGGGAGACAAGGTCTCGCTCTACTGCTCAGGCTGGAGTGCAGTGGAGCAATCATAGCTCACTGCAACCTCCAAATCCTGGGCTCAAGCAATCCTCCTGCCTCAGCCTCCCAAGTAACCAGAACTACAGGTACAGCCAGCTAATTTTTAAAACATATTTTTTAGAGATGAGGTCACACTATGATGCCCAGGCTGGTCCCGAACTCTTGGCCTCAAGGGATCTTCCTACCTCAGCCTCCCAAAGTGCTGGAATGGCAGGTGTGAGCCACCACGCCTGGGTTTCTGAAAATGTTTACACACATCCTAAGGCTAATACACTAGAAATATTTAGGAAATTTTCATGCTCACAAGATGATGTCTAGCCAGTGAACAGTAACATATCTCTCACATAATGAAAGGATTTAAAAAATGATGTGATCATTTCTTTGAGAAGTTTACAATATTCTTTCCAGTCAGCATATTTGGCAGTTATATGTTTGTTTTGTATTAAAACTTCACTAATACAAGCACAAACTCAGAGACTACAAAATTGTTTAACTTTGGTGTAAATCATGACATTTGAGAGGTTAAAATTAAAATAGATGACAACGTTTTATACTTCCAATGTCACTTACTCAGATTTTATTCTTTCACCAGAATGACTGGCAGATCCCAAGGAGGATATCAACAATTCTCCTTGGCAATCCAGGGACAGATTAAATGCCAATATACCACATTAAAAGCCAT